GATAAAGGTGACCTGTAGCGACCCATACTGTACCACTCAGTGGAAACGGGCCATTGGGATCTCACTCGTGGCAAATTGCCTAAATACACTGTTGAATAGTTTGTAAATTGTTGTTGCTTCAACTCAGCTTTTCTGGAGAACTGTGGTCCTGCGGAGTTTAGTGACAACATGCTTACCTGGAAGTTTCCTTTGATGCTGAAACCCTTGATTAGCTGATTTTGATTGATGTAATTGGGTTTGAAGCTAAACTCTGCATAAGCAATCTGTAAGCAATGTGTGAGGGTCAATGAGATAAAGTCATCTGTGCGTTCTGAAAATATGCGTGCACCTCAAGGGTCAGTTCTTGGCCCAATGTTGTTAACAATGTACTTAAAGGATCTTCCAGATTGCTGCCCAGGGGGTAACTGCCAGTTATATAGGCCTGTAAGGGATACATTTGAGGTGCTGATTAAAAATAAAGGTATTAAAGAAGTGAACGAATTTGTGTATTTTGCCATAACTCTATACCTTAATTTAAATTTGATAGTCATGTTAAATATATGAGAAGCTTAAGTCTAAACTGTTTTCGTTTAATTAGAAGATTTTTTAACATATCAAATTGCAAAATTATACATGCACACAATGATATTCTCTCACTTGACATATTGCATTACATCATGGTCACAAGCTTCTTTAACTACATTAAAGCCTATTGACTCCATATAAACAAGCAGTTAAAATTATGGGCTTAAAGCCTATGCAATGACATCATTGTGATGTTTTATGTAAACCCAACCTTTTTAGTTTTGATAGTTGTATTAAATTTAATCATCTTAAATTGGTTTTTAAATGTTTAAATTATCATGTATCAATGCTGTTTAGATCTAATCAGTAGGCATCAAACCTCTCAAAGAGTCACACGAGCAACCGCTAATGGTTACTGTCTAGTGCCAAAGTGTAAGACCTCATTTGGTCAATCTGTTTGCTCTTTTAAGGGAGACAAATTTTGGAATGATTTACCTGTTAGCCTAAAATTAGAAAGTAAGATTAATTTTAGTAGTGTACTTAAAAACAAAACAGCAGTGTTTGCACAAATAGTTTACTATTAGTTTGTTTGATCTTGCTGCCTTTGCTTTTGCCTTCAGTAATTTTATTTAAAGAATTATAATTTTGTGTATTTGTATTTATTATATTTTCATTTTGTCAAGCCTCCCGTGGACAGGTGTTGAGAATTAGCAAGTCTGCTAAAACACTTAAACAAATGCATTTAGTTGTCGAACATAATTGTAAGGTTCATGTCAAACAAACAAATAAGTAATTATGAAAGTCATTAATCAGGAATGGACAATCCTGCTTTTGCTTGCCCTGGGCTATATCTTAGGGTACACCTTTTTACCTAACCTTGTATTGTGCCAATATTCACTCTTTAAGGGTAGAAGTGTAGACAAGTTAGGGTTCTTGCATTAGTTCTGAAAGTTAAAAACAAGGATACATTTTAGTATTCCACTATAAAATAACTAACTTCAACTATCAAATCATTTGGGCACCCCTTCATTGGCACACGTCTGGCAAATAATTTGACTGGGCTCATGGCACACAACAGATCGCCAAAGTCTGTTGTTATTGAAGCATCTTATCCTCGGTTTTATATCCAATTTGGATCAGTATTTGGTATTTGGAGGCAAGGGTGTTGGATCCTGACTTGCACTAATAAGTGCTAGCAAATGATACCAACAGTTGGCATGCTAAACGTTCTCATTCTCATGTTGTTCCAAACCTGTATGGGCTTTGCACAAAATGTGATACTCTGACAGGGATTCACTGTTGTTATGGACCATTTTTGACTTACATTGGTTTGACCACCAACATCAATCTCCATTTGTGCTTTCCAAATAAACTGAGGCATAAAGATTTGGAAAGAAATTCCCCTTTAAGTCCAAGATTTTAGATAATGATGAGTGTTCTACGCCAAACCTGATCTCTCTTATTAAGCCTGATCGTGGGCTAATGGGGCGATCCAATTCCAAACTTTGACCAGAAATGCACCGACAACACCATTATATCTTCAAGAACTTGATCCTAGCACATTACCTAAGCAACACACGTATACACAAACACCTTCTACCTCAGTCAACCCTTGAAAGCTTGTTAAAAGTGACCTCTGGTCCCAGAATGGGAGAAAATCAATTGAGTGCTCCTGCATTGGCTCATCCTGAGTCGTTGGTCCAGATGGAGGCATTGTTCACACCAAGTGCTGGGCCAAGCAATGTGCCAGTCTGATGTATTCAGCCACAGAGACTCCCTTCAGTTCTGACAAGCACACGGACAAATGAATATTCTCAATAGTGGCCATCCACAATGGCTCAGTGGTCTGCGCTTTGATCCTTTGTGGCAAAGAGCCATTCATTACGTGAGGTGCAGAGGCATATTGTATGTGGCGAGTGTGTAATACCTCATGTTAAAGGATTAATGTCCTCTATGTGGCGTGTGCTTACTTCAAAGGCTTTGTTATAAGGCTTATCGCTGTGTGTTGTCTTTTTTGCTCAAGGTTAAGCATTGTAGAATCACTTGGCTGTCGTTGTTTGTTGATGTTCATTCTTGACGGTGCTTCAATCATTTTGTGTGAAATCTCTTCACAAAGGGATTGTGCAATACTGAACAACTTTAGGTAATTTCAGCCATTTTGGATGAAAGATACACATTTTGAATTAGTTTTGTGGCCTCATAAATGAGAATAACATTACATTTTCTCTCTCAACCTGACTGCAAAGTTCACTGTTATGAAGAATGTCTGCAGCTTAATTTGTGTCTGCAGCTTAGGATGGTAAATTGCTTGAAATGTCACACTTGTCAAACGCTATGAAAACCTTTCTTCTACAAAATGTCACTTGCTCTCACAATACTGTCAACGTAAACAGTAACCATACCTGCCAACATTTGTCTCTGAAAATCCGGGAGGAGGGCGGGGGAGAATCGGAGGTGAGGTGTCTGAATAAAACAGCTGAGAACCTGGTTAGTAACTTTACTGTGGTGTTAGTAACTACTATGGAACGGGTTTCGGATGGCTGCTGTGATCGGATACTATACCAAAATTGGCAACCCTGGGGTAGGCATGGGCCGGTATAAGATTTGACGGTATGATAACCTTGCACAAAAATTTCACAGTATCACGGTATTGTGATTACTGCTAAAAATAGGTTATTTTTAAATGTCTGGGTAAAAAAAAATCCCCCATTGAACACAAAATATTGTATATTAAAAAAACATTTAAAATATTTTGTACCAGTGGCTTTCGATGTTAGAGTACCTGTGTTTTTTCTGTACTGTTGCCTTAAAAGCAAAATAAAATAGGTGTGGTACCGATAGGGTGCCAAAACAAATCGTAGGAACTGTATAACAGAAATTTTTGCCAGTTTTAAAACCTCGACTTTTCCATACCGCAGTATACCTTGAAACCGGTTATTGTCCCATTCTTACCCAGGGGTGTTACAGACTGTACCAAATAGCTGAGGACCTGGGGTGGGGGTCCTATGGGAGTTTTCTGGGACAAATAACAAAATGGGAGGGTGGCAGGACTGAAGATGGGTCTGAAATATGTGAGACTCCGGGAAATAATGGGTGTGTTGGCAGGAAATTCACATTGAACCAACCCCCTACACGCAAAAACCTATGTGACTAAGCAGTCTCTCCCATTTATCTCATTAATCAAGTATGACTATGCAGCAACGTGTATAATTTCATAAACATGTATTTTATATGATACATTCTCTCAACTTATGTTGTTAAAGCATTCATAGTGTTAATGTTTGTGTTACTTTCAGAAAAGGTGTGCAGTTTTTCCACACAGTCAACATTACACCACAATAGCATAACTTGCATTGAACCTGCAGAATCCCTTTAAGAGAGCTGTCCATAATATCCCAAACTAGCACAATTACGCACAGCTGTGGTATTTACTGCTGTAGAGCTCAAAAATTGGTGCCATTTATCATGATTTTTCACAAGCAAACCCATTTATTATGCTACCATGATGCATCTACCAAGCGACTGTAAATTATAGTGCTCAGAATACTCTTGTGCATTCCCCTCACATTCGCAGTGTGTTTCAATGTGATACTACAGCTCCCTCTAGTGGTTTAATCCAAATAAAAGTAACACAAACAAGGCAGTCTCAACACAAGTCCTTCACACTGTCTGACATATTAAACCCACACTTTAAATCTTATGACAGTATTATGTAAGATACAAAAGCAAAATGTCAACACATTCACAACAAAACCACCACGTTCTACATTCTGGCTTGTAAACTGCTCCACAGAATATTATCCGTAAACATCCACAGCAGGGGTGGCAAAACTCAGTGCTGGAGGGCCGGTGTGCTGCAAAGTTTAGCTCCAACCCCAATCAGAAACACCTGGGCTAACTAATCAAGCTCTTTTCAGGCTTTCTGGAAACATCCTAGCAGATGTGTTGGAGCTAAAATCTGCAGGACCGAGTTTTGACACCCCTGATCCACAGTCTAAAAAACTCTCAGTTTGTTATGTGATAGGAGTATTACAGCTAGCTTGTGTAACAGCAAACTATTCCAAATGTTTTTGTCTAGTGAGAATATGTTAGGTCAGTCATACACACGAAGTACTAAAATAATGCAGATAATACTGTTAAGGCATTTTCATCTTCATGAAAAGCTAATATACCGTTTTGCAAATTGGTTTACTTTAATACCAAAAAGATTGCACACCTAAGCTTTTCAAATGATTACATTCTGTAGTGGCTCTGTTAGGTGCTCATTGCACATGCTCATAAATATTAATACACGTAGACGTTAATTCAGTTTCTATATCCTTTGGTCAGCATTTGTTCAGTCAAGTCTGTTGTCCTTTTGAAACCTCATTTGTAGAAAAGCTTTGTAATCCTTAAGGAACTGAAGACTAGCTCATGATTACAGAGGAACCATCGCCAAACGTCTTAGGACTAACTAAATCCCTGCTCTTTTGAGCTGATTCCGGTAGTGTCGTAGTTCAGAACTTCCCCAAAGCGGGAAGAGCCCCAGCTTTAACCAGCACCGCAGATAGCAGGTTACCTGGGCCTGAGGAGTGTGTGACAGCCGTTTGTGAAGGATCCTGATGGTGGGAGTTTGACGGAGTGGGAACTTTACTTTGCATTAATGATGACTTGGCTGCACCACTACCTGCTCCAGCCATGCTAGATTTGCTGTTCTCTGCGGTATGTATGACTATTCCCGGAAGTGCCGTCCCTGCCACTGTTGGCATAGAGTCCAGTGAGGTTTGACAACAGCACAGCACACGGAGGAAAGCAGTTCGCATTTCTCTGCTGGAAAACGTGTAGATCAGTGGGTTGAGAGCAGAGTTGAGCACAGCCAGAGCGATGAACCAGTCCACCTTGTAGAGAATCGGGCACTGCTCTGGACTGCATCCCACATCAAGCAGCAGTAGTGAAAAAAGAGGAGCCCAGCATGCCACAAAAACCCCTAGTACTATCACTACTGTGCGCAGAAGAGCGAGCGACCGATCTGATGGACGAGAACTTACTCTTCGCCCACTAGATGTCACAAGTTGGTAGATGCGCACATAGAGGACTACAATTGCTGCTAGGAGGGCTGTGAAGACACTGATGCAGAAAGCTATGTAGCTTTTGTCGTACAGTGGTAGGACAGTGGAGCAGGTGTGGACTCGGTCCAAACAGTTCCAACCGAGGCTTGGCAAGGCACTCAAGAGAACTGAAACTGCCCAGCAGGCTCCCAGGAGAGCTAGTAACCTTCCCCTTCCTGCGGTCTCACAAGGCCGCAAACGAACCATCGTCATGTGGCGCTCAATCCCAATAGCAAGCAAGCTAAAAGTCGAAGCGCTAAGTGCCACAAACATACTCCCCTCTCGCAGCAGCCACTGGCCAGGGCTGAGGAAAAAAGTATTACGGCCGGAGGTGAAGATGTTGACCACATATGCCACTCCAGCTAACAAGTCAGAAAGTGCCAGATTGCCGATGAGAAAGTACATGCGGCTGTGGAAGCGCTTGTTGCGCCATAGTGCCAGAAGAACAGTAATGTTCTCAATCACGATCAGAGCACAGATGCACATCAGGAAGGCCGTCTTACACATACCAGTGCTTTTTGGTCTTCCCCACTTGCCTGAGTGGTTGTAGTGGCTAACTATAACATCATTCATTCCAGGTTCAAGCTCGTCATCCATTTTCCACACGCTCTCCAAGTCCGCTTTTGAACAGCAGATGGCGTCGATTAGCAGCTTCCAGTGAAGTTGGACAAGGGATCCACTGCTTCACACATAATGACTCATGGAGGACCTAATTACAAAAAAAAGACAAATAAAATGTCATAGTCTCTCTGGAAATTTTGGCCTGAAGAAAACATTTAAACCTTTAGGTTTGCTAGTCGTTTATTTTAAGATTATCTAAGCAGAGGGAAACATGATGAAAACCTAAACAAATGATCTCAAACAAGCCAAATAAAGAGCCTGGGGACTGGCTAGCAGTTTTAGGTTTCTGAACCTGAAGTAAAACATGAGTTTTGTTCTGAGGTGGTATAATGAAGTTCACAATCAGATAACCTAAATGACAATACTGTATAATAGCCTACATATATCTGTCTTACAGTGACTACTACAATACTTATTTAAACTTCATCTTAAGTTAACGTCTAGAATGAAGACAACAAAAAGTTAATTTACCAACATTCCCACGCTGCACTTTGAACTGTTATGACTTCCACCTAAATACTCTACTAGACTTTTTGTAAATATGTGTTCATTGTTGTGACCATGTAATCATAAATCTTTGAGTAGCATATTGAATTGTAACTAAAATAAACGACATGCCATAGTTTATAACTATCCTTATAACTTTATGGTCCCTACCATGGAAAGTAAACTAAATTATGATTCAAATCAATGCCAAATTATTATCAATGTTTTATTACGGCTAAATAGTTTTATTTTTCTTCAGCTTATAAATGGCCACAGGCTTTTTTTTTATAACACATTAACTATGATGTGATAAAACAGGCTTACCGATTATTTGTCCTGCGAGATGCTCATCTTGGGTTTCTACATAATTCAAAACAACTTAAAGGTTTTTGTAGAGGAAAAAAACTTCCAACAGTACGATCAGGCTTCTGAAATGATTTATCCTTGACGTTTCTCCGCTTTCTCAAATAAAAGCCCTTTAGAGTCCTTTTTAAAATATATATCCAAGTTTTTGAAGTTAAAACGAAGTGCTGTCAGGTTGTTTTTGTAAATATTTCACCTGCGTGTTAGCGATCCTAAACTCTGAATGCGCCTTTCCTTAACATTCCCTCACACTCTGGGCGGGAACATCATCATTTCTGTTTTTTTCCAGGCAGCGAATGAACGTCCCGTCGTCTGTGTTTGGATAGTTCTGAATTTGTGTTTGTTTGGAAAGTGTGCGCGCGCGCTAATATTTCAGACGGTGGTGATGAAGCGCGCACGTGCGCGAGCATCCTCTGATGTTTGTGTTTTTATTTCCACGCATGTTATTACACAGGCATCCGCAGTGAGGGAAATTACTGGGTTAAGTCACGCAGAATGACCTAATCCCGTACCAGTCATCATAATAATGACATTTGGCACCTGACTTCAGCAGGAATGACTGTTTTACACGACATTAATGCGTGAGAGAGTGAAAGACCGCGAAAATGTTGTTAAACTACTGGTCAGTAGATCATTTTCAATATGTATCCTCTGAAATTACATCGAAATAGGCTAAAAAAAATTCGAACAAAACTGTTCTGTTTAAAGATATGTTATAATTGCATTATATTGCTGTCCTCCTTATCAATTACAGCACTATTATCACAAATGTTGTCATGACTCGGTTTAGAGAACATCTTCGATGACAGGTTTTCTCTGAATAATTTGTATTAGTTAACTAATACAAACTGGAACTGAGTATTTCATTAATATAACAAATTTTTAGCCAAATGTATTTAATAACATTTTGTGCAGATACAATATGATACAAAAATAAATAATACACTGTTCTACTTCACGGTTCTACTAAGAATCATTGATCATAAAAAAACAATATAGTTATAAAACTCCCACAGTTTGTAAACATTTTCTTTTAATAATAATAATTATGCATGACAGATTTCTGAGACTTGAGGCAGTTACTGTGGAGTGAATGATTGCCAATATTTTACTTAATACACCATGCCGTCAACCTCAACTTCCGGTACCGTCCTGTTTATATGCTCAATATGAGGTTTATAGCGTGATTTATTTTTATTCTTTTAATAAATTTTTTACTGTTATATGCTTTTTTCTATTTGTACTGTTATTGCCTTTTTACTTTTGTTTGCTAAATGTCATTAAAATCTAATTAATTTTTAAAATGCTAATTAAAAATTTATGAAATAAATATAAATAAACAACAAAAAAACTAACAATAAAATAAATAAATTAATAATAATAAAAATAAAAAACTTTATTCCTCTACTGCTTCAAGATCAATAGTGTCAATAAAATTCAACAAAGAGTTACATGTTTTGTAAAAAGATTTTAAAGTCTCTCCTAATGAAAACCTATTTTTCCCAACTTTAAACAAACAAACAAAAAATCTTTTATCTATCTGTCACTGTCATATGAAGGTGGAGATGCCTGTTTCCACTTAAGGAGAATAAGTCTCCAAGTCAATAATGTGGAAAAAATCACAACGTTCTGTGTTGTTGAGGGCAAATTTGGCCCAAAAGGAATTCCAAATAGTGCTGTTAGAGGGTTTGGAGTGGCTGATATGTTAAAAGTTTTTTTCAAAAGTATCGAATATTTTAGACTAAAATATGTGTGTGATTTGCTGGAGATTATTCACACCTATTTCAAGTATTACTTTTATTCGGATATATTTTGGCTAATCTGGCATGTCTGTGCACAAATTGAGTATATAATTCCATTCTATTTCACTGATGGTGATCCCAACTCTTGTTCCCAGGTATTCCTAGGTAATTCAGAGGAATCAGAATTCAAATAATTTATTGACCGATAGATAATAGAGACTGTCTCTTTTCTGTTTGGGTTAAAAGAAAGAATAGTGCCCATTTTTGAATCAGGAGGAAGCTAAGTAAAATGAGTAAACTGATTTCGTACAAAATTTCTTATCTAAAAGAAGCAAAAAAAAAAAAAAGGTGAGTTTTGGGAAGATTAAACTTTTCAGACAAATCTGAAAATGACAAAAACAGACTTTACAAGTCCCTAATGGTATTGAGGCCTTTAGAAGACCAGTCACAAAAAAACAGAATCAGAACGCGATGGTAAAAAAGATACATTAGTCACTATAGGTGCTAGTGTGGATGAACTTATTAGCCCAAAGTTGTTCCTAAAAGTAACACATATTTTAATAGTATTGGTCACTAATAAACTGTCCGAGACAATTCTACTATTTATTGGAAGCTGAGATGAAGGAAAAACTTTTAGGATAACAGTTCTAATTGGACCCAGATAGGATGCTTGGAAACTTTTGAAAGGTTAAATTGTGCATTTTTTTAAATAATATTTTGTGTCTGCTTCAGCTACCAAAATTGTGCTTAAAAAAAAAAGACAAACTATTTTCTGTAGAAATTCCCTTTTTGTGTTTCACACCCAGTAGAAAAAAATCAAATGAGTTCAGAACAAGGGTGAATGATGACAGAATTTTAATTTCTGGGTGAACTATTCCTTTAATAGGGCATCCAAAATAACCTAAAGTACGTGACGTGTTGTTTTTCTTGGTCTGTGCACGGCTTTGACCCGACTCATTTGGTATTTTTCCTGATGACAAGCCAAGGCCCACAACATTTCCACTTACAACATCCCATATCCTTTCTTTGATCAAACATTGTTTTTTTCATGGTAAAATGCGAAATGCCATGTTTTTCCCCCTCCTCTTTGGGGTGACAGGTCATCACTCTCCCAGAGCCTCGACCCACTCAAGACACACATTCAAAACAAAAAAGTTCTGTCTGGTTTCATATGTGACACAGTTGGCCTAAAATTAGACTTGGGCTCTAAATAACTATACATCATCCACGATGATTAATAAATAAAAAAACATCAAAGCTTCTTGTACAGCTTTTCTTGCGCACCCCTAAAGCTCTTCTCCTTTGCTGTGCGCAAACCAGACTTCACATTCTCACAGTATTCCCAGAGGACAGTGTCCAACCTTGCACTCCAGCCTGAGGATGATGAATGGGCAAATTGAATGTTTTTTAGGGGGTGGTGGTGAGGGGAGTAACATGGACTGCTTTTGCATTCTTAAGTTTTAAATCTGAAAGTGCAAATCTAAAGTGCAATTTAAATTTATTCTCTTACTTAGCAGATCACCCATTCCACTTGTTCTGCATGCAGATCTGGGATTGCATCATGTACAGAAGACTCTGTTCACTCACTGCACAAGCTAAAATCCTTTCTTTTAGCTATCAATGGACATGACTGTGGTTAATTTTCCCCCCTGTAAGTCTAAACACTGAAGAGCAAATCCATTGATGCACAGTATTATACAACGTTATCCAACTAATGTGTATTCCAGAAAGCAAGGTTATATTATCTGAAGTTAACCTGAACTCTTGGTTTACTAACCCTAAACTTTCTTACTCAAAGTTGGTTCCAAAACTAGGAGCCCAGTCAACTCAACACGAAAGACATTCTCAACATGGAACCCCATGGAAACCAAACGCAAAGAGCACAAGTTACTACATTCTCAGAAATAAAGGTACACGAGCTGTCACTAGGGTGGTACCTTTTCAAAAGGTACACATTTGTACTTGAATGGTCCATATTAATACCCTGAAAATATATATTAGTTCCTAAAAATTTTAAGAGGAACACTTTTGTACTATGGCCCTTTAAGGTACAAATTGGTGCCTTTTGAAAAGGTACCACGCCAGTGACAGCTCGTGTACCTTTATGTCTGAGAGCGTATAGAACTTATACCCCTATATACCCTGAAAGTTACCTCCAATTTTGGAACCAAATGCTGAGGTAGTCTGCTTACATAAAACTTCAACTTATCAGAGTATGTCACATAACTTTCTTTTCATAGCGTTCTGGAATAACCCATTGGTTTTTATCTAATCCTAATTACAGTTTTATTAAAATCTACAGAAAAGCAGTTCAACACGCATGAGTAGACCTGAAGGAGTGCCAAGACTGTTTACAGCTATTCTTGGACAGCTGGACTTTAAATGC